CAATCATGAACTTGAAGTGAGATGCTAAATTTAATGAAAATAAACAATACTCGAGAAAAAGCAGTGAGAGGAGAAGCGGTGGCGTCCCCGGCGCCGCTTGTGGTGTTGCCGCCGACAATGCTGAAACCGAGACTACCATTGGCAGTGCGAAGCAGGACTATAGTGCGCGGAATTTGACAGTAGCGCGGCAGTTGTAACCAATACAGCCAACTAGGGAGGAAGTTTTCCCGACCTGATCCTGTCTCTGGCCCTTCCAAAACACGAATCGTCACCTAAACCGAACACTGAAGCATTACGTAAAACACAGGGCCACCAGATTTTGTATTGACAATGATTCAATTATTCAAAATATGTGTGCAAGTAAAAGTTTGCCTTGGTGCAAGACTTCCGAGTAGCTTTAAGAGCCTCAACAGCCTTTTCGTGGGAGAGGCCGAGGAGTTCGACCTCGTTGACGGCGAGAAGAACATCACCCTTGGCGAGTTGGCCAGCACGGCCAAGCACGCCGGTAGGCACAAGGTTAGTGATGTAAACCGGCGTGTCTCCACGCTGGCTTGCCACGCCTCCAGCTACCGTCATGCCCAGAGATTCACCTGGCATCTTTTCCACTGTGATCTCCTGAACAGAATAAAAGGCAAGGCAGCCACACCACGATTCAATACGAATCTCGGTTATGAATAGCACAGTTTTAATACCCACAGTTATGGATGCTCGCTGATGCAACCTTGCACGCTTTCGCCTTACACTGCCTGTGTTACTCCAAAGCTATGAAGTATTATTTACTACAAATAACTGAAAACGGTAGAGTAGTCATGTGAACAATGAAAAAAAATGGAAAAAAATTCCAGGAAAAAATGATTCGAGGTTAACACTAGAATAAGGATAAATACTTGCTCTCGGCAGAGACGAGTGGAAGGTGACTTGAGGCTAGGAGGAAGGGCAGTGGAACAGGCGACCGGCGGAGGGACCGAGGTGCCAGGAGAGCGAGCAGTTGTGTTTGCAACACCACTGGCGCCACCAAAGTCCATAAATATCTCGCCACTTGCGGTGCGAATTATGTCAGGTGTATGCGGCCGAACAATACGCGCCACCACCAAGGCTACGCGCTCCTCCGCCGTCTACAAGAGGGAAGAAATTAAACAAGACACTGAAGCTCGGTTACATCCTTCTGTAAAGCATTATTATACATGAAAATCGTAGAAATGGCAAGTTTTCAAAAAACACTTCTTTTCAAGAATAAAGAATAGAAAGTGACTTTCATAATGTTGATAAATAGATGTAAAAATTGTTACCAAGAGAATCATTGTTAAATTGATTAAGGAGCAGAAGAAAGAGACCAACTCAAGCATGAATAACGGACAACGATGGCCTCTGTTAAGACATAAAAATGAGTGGAAGTACAAACGACATGACCAAGTTTCCCAGATTAAACAATGAAAGCGTGATTGGCGTTGGAGCATTTCATTTGATCCTAGAATCCAAGGCGTAGAGAGTATGTCGATGGGAAATTCATTTCATACTTAACTTTATAAGAATACATCGCAGTCAGTGGAACCAACCACCCAAGAGTGTCGCCATAATAATAACAAAGAACCTGTGCAAAACCAACAAAAGTAGTTCGGCAGGAAGAAGAGCTGTCTCACTCGGATGATATTCGCCGCTTCTTCTTGAGTTCCTTCTCTTAGGTCCACTCCATTGATCTCGAGGATGCGATCGTCTTTGTACAATCGACCGTCCAAATCGGCTTCACTGTCGGGTACCAAACCCAGAATATATACTCCGGGTAGATTCCTGTAAAGAACGCAAAGTACGGTACGTAAAAATTACGCATGGACAATGATCAGCAAATTACCATTAATAAGGCTATTGCCACATGAGCCGAATTTGGTCCAATAACGACCAGTAAATGGAAGTGATCTGATTTATAATCCTGAAAACAGCAAGGGAAGAATAAGCCTTTCCAGCAAATTGAGGATAAATAGCCGCATCACCAACAAAGCGCTTAGAAATCAAGGTATATTATTATTCGTCAGAGGATCATACTTGAGCATGACACATGATTCGGAAGCCTTAGAAAGTATTTTAAAATGAAGCGAAATTTACTTCTTCCCAACCAGTTTAATTCCCAGACGTTTGTCCAAGCGTTTCATCAGGTTGATATGCAGAATTTCTACAACGCGAAAGGGCAACATAAGTGAAACAAATTAGGGAAACAAGTATTATGTTAACAGCTAATGAAACAAACGCAGTGAACGCAGCTAGGATGTGTTAAGGAAGATGTGAAACTTACCGACTGATTGACATTCAAGCTGAGAGAAAAGGGCATAAGGCAGCGGATAGTAGTGTCATTTAAGAAAATTGAAATTGAAGTACAAAGTGCAAGCAGCAGTTTTGTAGTATTCTCTCTCCAATGACCAATGGATCGGACAACTTAGAAGAGTGGACATTCGAACAGGGTTCACGGTTAAACAACTACTCACGACTCATGAACTATGAGGATCAAACCCTTTAGGAATGAATCACATTACATACGGACCCTCAACAAACGATAAGTACTTGTGATAAATTTGAAATCACGCCTGTCCCGACAGCCCCCAACAACAAGAGAGCTATCCGTCCAACTTTTTAAGGTCCAGTTCACGGCTGTTCTCTGAACGTTATAGAGTCATGCTCTTGCTCAGCCTCCCCAATTCCAAAAGTGTCACATCTGTCAGAACAATCATTTGAATAAGCAATTCATGCTCAGGAAAATAGTTTCCTTCCCATTGATACTGGCGAAGTAGGGAAAACCTTACAAATAATGAATTTGATATTATCTGTTGCAAAACGAAATGTAGATCAAGATAGTACCGCAAATTATAGACCCAACGAAAATTTACAACTCATGAGACCACGGCTAGCACTGGAAAACTGGATTGATAATAATTTTAGATATTCGCCTTGCTAATAGAAGACATACATAATTTACAGATAGACGTGTAATGGAATTTATGAAGCGAATTATTCAACTCGTGCGTATCTGATAGTTAGAACGCTTTCTGTTGCTGGCGGACAGTTGCCTGCATAAACATCAACGCAAAGAATGCGCTACATCAATTTTTTTTAAATGATGTTTTGGAAGCCAACGTCGATACGTTGAAGAAGAACACCCTACCCTCGCGTTCAAAAGGGTTCTCTGGAGTAGAGCCGAAATGACGTCTGCTGGAGCCACCCGAACCGCCGCATTCTGAGGCAGCACGCTCGCGATAGACGGTAAGCTCGAAAGAACGCGCCGCTACGCTTCCAAGTGACGTGAGTGCCGTACGGGCCTGATGATGGGTAGCCTGCGTAAGGTCCATCCCATTGGCCTATAAAGCAGTAAGGGAAAGTGGGTGTACAGCCGTGAATAAATGAAGGACCTTTAGCTGATAAAAACGAAAATGCAGTTCAGTAGACAAGCCCTAAAAAGTCTTTGCTTATTTAGGGGAAAAACAAATCAAAAGAGATGCCAGTACCCTTCTAAGCAACGAACAAAAGTGTTGAGACAGTATCACAGAAGAAACAATGAAAGTTAAGGTAAAATGCAGACCTCGATAAAACAGACAAAAAACGTTTCAAAGTGGATCTGAAATTCACAAGACTATACACGTCATCAATCATATTAATGGTATTGTACACTGCCTTTAACTAATAGCAAAAAATCTATGAATGAAAGGCAAGGTTAATCCCAAGATGGGAGATTAGTTGGCTGGACAATGCCAGCATCACGCAAAAACAACAGAGTCGAAGAAAAAAAGCTCAAAGTAATGGATGGAAGGACATTCAACTCATATCATTCATTAGAGCTTTGAGAAGCAAGACAGAAGATTTGTACAACATCGTCTCCTCTTTAACACTTAGAGTCCAGTCGTCACAGGCATAGCTTAAATTCACCATACGACAAAAATAAAAGTTGATAGAGCGAGGTTAACTGCCAAAAGACCGTGGACAAAAGAAGCAGTTTTGCTTGCATTACTGTCAAGCAATCAAAGTTAATAAGGACGGAAGAAAAGATGCGATGAAACCGAATGTGTTAAGGTTTACTGAGGGTGTCTTTTCGTTAAGTCAACCCGACAAGAAGCAGAATAAAACCAATGGAATTGATGAGATACAGAGGGTAGTTGAGAAAATTTTGTGAAAAGGATCTTATGGAGACAATTGAAAAGTGAATGAAACGAGTTAATAGCATCCTATTCATCACATTGTAATAGCACAACACACAACAGGTAATGCCAAAAAACTCGCGTCAGCGATCCCAGACGTCAACTGGAACTGCGCAACCTACTCATTTCAATTAGGAAGACACCAGTTTGTGGGAGTCGCATCGTTATCTGTTGGTGTAAAACTAAGTTGTGAGCATAAGCGCTAAAAAGATTCGCAAGGCGGTTGAATTGATTTGCTGGCCTAACAGCTTGTTAATGGGCCAAGAATACCTACCTATGGAGGATATAATCCACAATTTACGTGGCTGCTTTTATCACTCAACCAAAACTGCCTGGACTCCTTCTCACAACCGATACCAAGGTCCTATAAAGAAAACACATGCATGAATGATCCACATTAGGTGGAGTGATGGAGCTTGCCAACTACGAAGCATAGCCAAGTGAGAAAAAGCACCAGAAAATACATACACCCGCCTCAACTTCCAAAAGGCTTGTTATGGGAAAGAGAGGGGATGAATTTTGAAGCTTTCGAACTCTTACCATCCGTGCACGAAAAGCGAAATTCAATTACCCCATAGGAACTACTGACGTAGCATATACTGAGGTGAAAGAAAAGTAAACGCGATCGCAAATAAGGGCGACAGCCATGGACGTACACGAGTACAGTGGAGTTTAGCATAGATAAAAGGGGCAATAATAAAGGCATCAGAACTAATTAAATAATGCAACGCCAGTCGGGAAGAGAGCACAACAGTCACAGGGATGGATGAGGAAGTAGTTGAGTCTTAATATTCTATGAAAACGCATTTTCGTCAGAGGGATCGAGAAGAGGTACCAGAACAATGGAGTGTGCAAACATCTACTTTGGTCAAACAAAGTGTTTCATTGCATCGGTCATTCTAAGCACACGAAAAGGCGAAAAATATCTCCACGAGCACTACGCACGTAAAGTAAATGGGATTTTTGACAAAACGCAAATTACTAATGTTGTTGTCACGATTAAAAGGAAACAAAAGTGTCATTCGCTGAAATAGAATAACAGGTACGAGCAAGAATATTACAATGAAGTTTTCTCGTTTAAGAAGAAATCTCTGAGGCCAAATCATACATATCCAAGTATACTGAAATCATCAGAAGCTGTGTAAAAAATAACCAAGTATTGAAATCAAATGAGATCAGTAAAGAAAAGTATTTCTCCCAAAAAATTTAGGGGGAGCTAACCTCAAGGATTTGATCGCCGGGTCGGAGACGGCCATCCATTGCAACGATGCCATCCAGATATATCTCTTGAATCACAATACATAGCTAGATACGAAAAATGCAAGTGAAAGTGGAATAAAAAATAGCCAGTAATTAAGCAAGCATGAGGTTTTAGAGCTACGAAAAATCCGTCGAACTAACCAGACAATGTTGGACAAAGCAATAAGCCTCTCTATATTGAGAAAAAGTAGCTACATATGGAAAGATGATGAGGGTTAAATAGATGTGATTTACAGACAGCAAAGGACAATGACCACAAAGCGAGCTAACTTCCAGATAGTGTTACGAGGAACCAACAAAAAACAACCATTGATCCTAAAACCATTCCTTTTACCACATTACATAGGGTTGATTATAACAAAGAAAACCTCCAGTCATGGGATACAAATTAATTTCTCGTTTTTCATCAACCCAAGTTCTACTTCAGATGAAAATCAAACGCACGTCTAGCGGCAAGCCAGATATTACAAGTAATAATCACAAACTGCTTGTCAAAAAGGAAATGCTAGATGAAACACCTCTCGAATATTTAAACATTACTCTAACAAATACGGAAAAGGGTAGACTAAAGAAAATTTGATAAGTTAGTCAGCCAAATTTTCGCAATTCTATGTATCAAAGATGTTTTTACAGATGAACTACTCGGCCAAGTAAACGAATTTTATTTGAGGTGATGAAAAGTGACAAGTAATTTTAAAAGAAGTGGACCGATTATAAGAATAACGTACGCAGGAAAAAGTACAGTGACTAGGATTATAGGCCCTGGAAGCAAGGGAAAAATCATCAACTCACCAAGGGCGTGTCCGATCCACCAACAAAGCTAATCCCGAGACTGGCATTCGGTTTCCACGGCAGTTCAATAGTTGTAACCTCGCAGTCGCGAATGGGGGAAGCTGAGCGGCCAGACATCACTGCGGCACTGCCACCTCCCCTGGAAGCACTAAGGGCTGCAGGTGGACTAGAGGTCGACGATCCCTCCTCAAAAGCACCACCAACGACACCCGCTGACATCAGCGGCGCCTCGACTGCTAATCTTCGAACTGCCAATAGGGAAAACAACACACCAGTGATTTAGTCATCAAACTTCGTTCGATATTTCGCAACACTTACCACAGAGCGGCATCAACTATTTAAAAGTTGTTTTACTTGGTCCCACTGTCAAGTTTTATAGCGAATAGACCTAATACTGAGTGATTAATAATACTTGATTGTGTAAAATAATGAGGTGTTTCGAGTGCCAATGTTTAATGCAATTTTCTACCTATGTATCTTTACTGGTAAAGCATAAAGTTGAGTTTTGGGTCTTTTCAAAGTAGAACGCAGGCAATATAATGTTCCAGCTTGAGGGATGTGGCAAAAAGTTGACTTGCGCACCCACTCTTTATAATCTCGATCTTCTTATCATCCTTAAAGCATTCAACTTTGACAAGGTGTGAATGATATTTGAATAGTTATTTGATGGTTACCACGAAATTCACAATGCTATGAAGAGTACCTGGGATTTTTCAGCCTAAACCTCAAGCCCAGGTGTGAAGCACTGATCAAAAATTTTAAAGTGTCCGTTTTCAATGAGAATAAGGATCTACTGTGCCATGGTTTCAGGATTGCCAACAATGTTTGCAAGAAGTTGGCATTTAAGGAGAGGGATGAAGCGCCTACGCCGTAAAGTGTATAAGAATAGACCAAGGTACCAATATTGAGTTACCTGCCTTGAAAATATTAACAGCCTCTAAAATGAATTAAAGGTGATGTTATGAAGAGTAATGGATTAGGTTGATGCACGGTTGACAAATTTGTGAGCTGCACAATGCGGTAATTGGGAAACAAATGGACCGCATGGAAATAATGGACTCAACATGAGTAAGTTTTTATTGAAAGGATCAATCAACTGAGTTAAAATAGCCAACTGTGTTGGTATTAAAGACGCGCATAACATCTTGAAACCCAAACAACTATCCCCATCATGTAAGGCATAAGGTCGCGTGCATGCATGATCCACCAAATTTCTTGGTCATTTAAAAAGGCAAATTTAAGGCATAACTATGCAATAAGTGGGATTATGATCCAACGTAGAGCACATTGAATAAAAGATATTGCTAAGAATAAAGAGGATGAGCGAGAATTCCAGATAAATGCATTGGTCAGAGATGGCAAAAGAGCACAGTAGCAGAAATACAGTTAAAAAACGGCATGCTTTCGAAGAGGGTAATTAAACGTCGAGTGTATGTCAAAGCCCTTAAAACAGAAGGAAAGGTGGACATATTTAGTGTCAGTTTAAAGCAATTCAAAGAACCAGGCTTTCACATCAGAAGACCAAACACGACTTGCCGAGAGGCGCTACCAGATATGCCCCTCTTAATAGCACAGACGCCAACCATATGAGTCCCAAATGGTGAGCCACTAGACACATCGAAACAAGCGATATTTAGTAATGCGTAGGGCTCATTTGGCAAGGTCACTGAAGGTAAATGTATAAAGCAGAAAATCCCAAAGCATACTGTCAAACATTGGAACGAGGAATAATGACTGAGCAAAAAGCCATTCTTTGTCCCCTAGCGTCTCATTATATTTGAAGACTCGGAATCAATCAGACGGGAAATCACATGGCGAAAATTCACGGTGCCTAAACCTGAAACGGGGACAAAATCACTCAAGTAAACACTCAGACGCAACTGCTTAATTAGAACCAAATGACTCCGGTAGACTTCTGGGTGTGCAAAACGTACCATTTCCGTTTGTCACAGTGGCTATAGCATATGGAAACGTAAAAGATGATTCTAAGGTCCACACATGCCAAAAGATATAAAAACATTAGTGCAACATCTCAAAAGTTGTGGTTACCAAAGCAACGGCAAATCTAGTTGAAGGAAGGCATTTGAATCAACATTACTTGATGCGTGCATAGATGTGTAAGAAGGAAATCTCGATTCTGTGCTCCTCTGAAAAGACTTTAATGCTCTCAACCCAACAAAAAAAGCTTTAAGCAAGACATGAAAGCTGTGCTAAAACTATTATTAGAATATCTCAAAAGCCAACGCATTATCAATTAAGCCCAAATATGCTCTATTATCATACTTTGCTCCTAATTCAACTCCAGTAAAAGTGGTTTGAATAGCAATTCAATAGTATCCATTAGGCATAAGCTCCGTTAAATTAAACATGTACATCTTAATAAAAGTCGAAAATCATCCTTACGTCCGACAAGGAAATACAGACTTACCAGGCATAGGTCCGAAGCGCACTACGGATTTAGTGGCGATAGGTCGAACTATGGGGCTTCCACCGCTAGACGTGGTGGTTCCAGGGGTCCGGGGCTGGAATCGGCACTCTCGCCGATGCTCAGTTTGGAGGGCCCTGGCAGCACGAAACTGGCAGCCTGCTTTGGCATTAGAGCAGGGCACTACGGTGCCGCGACACCAATAAGCCAAGTGTGATTCGAGATCACATCGAGAGAGCACCTCATCGCAGTGCTCAGAATTTGGGCAGATTACTAGCAATTTGTCCAGAAGCCTTTTTCGCAAAGAAACACAAAGACTCAAATTGATCTGAGATACTTGAGATGACTGTTGCATAATCTTAGTATCAGGTGCATGAATTAATTAAATAAGTATAAATGCTAGGATTATAGCTTAAAGATGTAACCTTAGAAAAGAGATGCGTGAGTGAGAGTGATATCTCAAAATCCAGAATCAGTAAACATGAGCAATTCAAATAAATACAGGATCGAAGGAAAATTTCATTGAATGATGAAAATAGGAAATTATTACATCTCAGGCATCAAAAAGTTTGACTTTCGACCATAAAGGAAACTGCATCAACTGAGAAAAACAATTCAAGTAGAGTAGGATTTTTTGTTCAAGGAGTACGCAGACAAAGGAAAGATAAACACCCAAACGTTTGTGCCGCACCGTCTTTACCACAGCTAATTATAAGGCTAAACCACTGACGGCAGAATTCCATGCATTCGACTTCTTGGTGTCAAAGGCTTTCAAAATTTCCTCAAATAGGATTCAGGTCGATATTTTTGGGGTAACACAGAGGCAGCAGGTATATCTAGTATATCAAATAAAGCTAAAGCTCACATCATAATTTATGCAGTGAATTTGCAGATGCGAACGCGATCATGAATTCAAAACTGAGAGACTTGATGACAACTCCACCCAATAGAGGGCAAAGGCGACCCTCTAACTTAATGGAAAACCGCATAGTCTCCTTCCATCCCACTAGGGTTGGTTATGGTATAAAAGTTGACTGGCCAAAAGTTCAGTCAAATTAGGTTACTCACGTTTCTAGCTGCAAGATTTCATGAAACATCAAGTCAAAAATAATAATTTATGAAAAAGCCCGAACGCAGAGATCCGACTTAGTGGGCATTAAGCCCACAGGCCAAATTAAAATCAGAAAACATAAATGATGCAATAAGTCAAATTATCCTCAATCGTATATGGAGAATTCATCGCCATCATTGTGAAACCCTTACCAATATGCTTCTCTTGTTACCCCGATCAAACAATAAGCATGAAACTTCAAATAACTAAAAAAAATATTTTCGAGAGACCGTCACAATCACACAGTGCTGGCCAATGAATTATAATGAAAATGAAATACTAACCCTGTGTGTGGAGTCCATAAGCTGTAATAAACAAAAATCCCTAAATCACGCTGCAAAACTGAAAAGTGACCATGCGGAAATTAAACCGGAAAATACAAGGATCACGACCCTTCAACTGTGCATGTCGAATCCAATACTGAGAGAGGATTGGTCTTAAGACCGTCAAAGGCTCCAAAACAGATAACAGACTTCCTGTAATCAGAGTGAATCAATCGCAATGAAACAAGAGTATGCCTACGATCGCCAAATAGGTTAAATGGGACCGACTACACCAACAGATCGCAGTTTAGATTAAAAAAATATCCAATGAGCGATTCTAATGTAATGAGTTAACTAAATTCATACGGACTGTAGCCGAAAGAAATCTCAAAGGCAAAAAGGGGTTTGCTTGATAATGGGCGACTGATAAGTTAGGTCTAGCATCAAGCCTCTTGAAAATAAAAAGGTAGCCATTAACAGGAATCTGAGTACACGGGTCGTGGTTGCAGTAGCGAAATCTGCAACCGCAGTAATTACCTAATCCTACACTACTAATTAATGGTCTTCACTGATGGAGAATGAGGGCAATGGGCATAGTGAGAAACTAACCAAGAAAAAGGGCATACGACTAGAAGAGCATGCAAGAGAAATGGCAACCTCGAGTTCTCAGAGAGTTACGTCTTTTCATCAAAGTTAGGGACAGAAAACGAGTAGATTTACGTTGGAAAGAAAATTGAGGACAAAACCCTGACGTGGCATTTAAAGGCATGTTAAGAGACCTCCAGATGCAAAACGCGCAAGATCGACGGGACTAGACCATTCAAGGTGTAGATAAATGTCTATGAGGTAGGATAATTAGGTGATAAAACCGATGTCCTGCATGGGACGTAAAATTGGCAAAGTGAGCAGAACCAAATTCAAGGAAAATTAAAGAGAAATAAACCCAAGAACCATATGTAAGATAAACTTCTTTCACTACTCCTAACGCTCGAAAGGAAATTTAAAACGGGGGACTGTGTTTGACCACCGCATAGATACACCGAACTACTATCTGGAAAGAGGACAAAGCGTTGATATGCTCCTGTTAAGAAAGCCCAGCTTACCCAAAAGGACTAAGTATAAGTGGACGCTGTGAATCCATTGGTACACAGGTAAAATTTTCCGCGTTCTTCAATATCGATGTCTTTTTTAGGAAGTTACTACCATAATTCAAAGAATTTTCGCCTTTGATGTCACCTTCAACATTGGACAAGACACTTCCAGTCTCTTGTAATAGACCCTCAAGCTCATCTATGCGGATAAATGTGGATTTATGCTTCATAGTTCAAACTCGACACTCACGTATGTTTTGAAACGAGTCTTTCAATTATGTATTGATTTTACAAGAATACATCGTGCTACAAGGCTGACGAAAAGTATTTTACTGAAAAAGTGAGGCAAAACTTCATTGGCCAGTCGATCTACCAATCACCGTGTAAGTATCTCAGGGTGCAAACCATCACGGCCAGCAGGTGACTCAGTTTTCAAAGGGGGTAAGTAGCACGATGAAAAAGAAAACATGGACACTGAAAAAGAGGGCTACATTTTGCGAATGTTACTTCTGAATGGCAAACGGTGACCTCATAACAATCTACAAGAGCACGCATGTATGAAACCGCCAACATTTTTACTCTCAGATAGTTTGTTATCAGTGTTTCGTAAGCACGTGTCGCATTTAGATCATCAAATGACTTTAGAAATGGCAATATAGCGAGGAAATGCAAAGCCACTAGTTACAAAAAATTAATTACTTATTGGAAAAACCCTAAGGTTTTGATTTAAGGGTGCTGGCATGAAGATGTCGCCTACGTAAATACACATACTCAAAACATAACGGTAGCAATGCATTCCCCAACAAACGCGCAAGAAATAACGGCTTACCGCTTGACAAGGTTGGAAGATTGCTGACATTCAAGGTAGTTTATGATTTGCTTATCCTCAGGACACAGAGCTTGTACTACAAGATGACTCTTCAGGCAGGGTGTGCAGAAGGTATGACCACACTTTGTGTCGATTGGATCCACCAAGGGTTGTCGACAAATCTGGGCAATTGACAAATTCATTCGTTTAGTTTCGACGAAAAATACCCACGATGTAGTCGTTCGGAACGTACAAATTAGGATTTCACGATGTGCTAAGACAAGGAGAGCACGAGAGATAAGCATTACGGTCACCTGAAAAACCCATGGTCTTTCAAACGAAACCTAAGTTAGATAAAATATGCTAATTTATTTTTAACCTAGGCTACATTTCAAGCCAGGGCCCTTCAATCCAACATTTTCAATTCGACCAAGGCAGACCGATGAAAACCCAACATATCAACCTCAAAAAATCACCAATAAACAAATTCACAATTTTATCAAAATCAACTGTTAACATAACCTGCCAATTTCAGGTTCACGGTATATCCCCCAGTTGCCCATCTTCACCTGTAGGTCAATATGCTTTAAACCACAGACACCAACCCAAACTAAGGAAAGTGGAGTTCCGGGTCGCAATTGCCTGAGCCCGCCCACCCCAAAAAGCAGACAGCAAGGAACACGGATGAACAAGCGGTAGAAAAACCCGACATCGGAAAGCTTTCCAATGAAGATGAACAGCAATGCAAATGCCATTCCATAACTATGAAGTTGAGCTGTGCTTGCTTTGGGATTTTTGATAGCTATCCAAGTGGTTGATCGCAGCCGATGAAGCGCCAAATGAGCCGAACAAGTGCCACACAACCCAAACATAAAGAATAAAAATATAGCACAATTTCACTCGGTTAGCAAGTTCATAAGAAAAAACATCAACATTTACAGTCAGATAAGAGGTCTCTAGGAAACCAATGGAAGAAAACTGTCATGAGTAATTGGTAAACAAAATGTATTTGAGAGGCAAAACCAAAGACTGTTATAGTGCAATTACTTTTGAACAGGCCAAACACCATGGCTAAAATAAATAGGAAATTCGTCTGTGGTCGACTTTTACTCCACCATCCGAGTTATCAAGTAATTTAAAGCTCGAAACTGTAAAGTTGGGAAATTAATGAACCATTTTGATATACAAGTGACCGTAGGAATTAGTATTAATGTTGGTGTTGTATTTGCCAAAGATAACTGAAGCCGTAATGCCACACACAAGGCCTGATGAGTCACCTACTGAGGGTCAGCTAGCATCCATAACTAAAATAGCAAATCTAATCATTTCTTTCGTTCCAACAAAGACATGCACCAAAGAACATTACTAACAGAAAGTATATTGTCAGAAGGCAATTTGCATGCAATGGACAAGCGCGCTCAAATAAAACTGTACTATCCACGGTTGGTACTAATTGTCAAAGAGTTAGTAGACAGAAAGATAGCTTATATAACATTATTTAGTATTCCATGTTATGAGTAGAATAGTAAATAAACCAAGCCAAAGTGCGTAAAGTACTCACTCTGCAAAGCAAATCTGCATCTACAGTTTCACTGTAATCGTACACATGAGCAGCATGTGGATCGTGAAGTTGTCCACAAGAATTACACAGGACTGCCTCACGAACACTCCCACTTCCACCACTACCGCTACTCAATCGACTTATGCCGCTGGGTGAAACTCCGGCCTGTGGATGGTGGGAAATGGTAGCTACCGAAGAAGGAGCTATTGGTGCGATAGGCGGGGAGGGGAACATCTCCTTGGTGTTGTTGGTGGTAACAGCAGCTGTAGCCATTACCGCCTCACTATCCACATTGGAAACCGTAGTGGACTGTGTCGACGCACTCGGTGTGGATACATCCGTCAGATAGGCCAACGGAGGTGGCGGTAGAACGCAAGGCAGCTGTGGACTGGGAAAGGGTGGAGGCCGCACGACAGGTTTGACGACGGGTGGCGGAGTATGAAAAGCTGAACTTGGTGACGAGGATACTGGACGAAAGAGAGAGGGTGACCAGGGTCCTCCTCCTATGGCAGGTGGGGGAGGAGGAGGTGGAGGCGAAGAGGAGTCGTTGCTATTATCCTCAGCGGTGGGTGAAACTGGAGGAGGCGGATCTTGACTATTACTACCTCCACCAAGGCTACCATCGCCGCCATCGCCGCTGCAACTATTACTACTTGCACCCGTGGGAGGAACCGGGGGTATAGTCCAGATGGAGTTGTCATCAGAAAAGGGAGAGGACTTTTTCTTGTTGCTTGCAATGATAGCGGATGCAGCAGCACACGGGATTGAGATGGGAGGAGTAGGACGAACAGTCGCAGTGATGGGAGGCGCCCGAATCGAGGGAACGGCTGTCAGAGAGAATGATGTTGTGATCGGAGTTGGAAGGGCTATAGTGGTCGTTTTCGTTGATGAGTTCATGGCCCACCTGTAAAGAAACCAATCGTGGGCTATGCTTG